TTGCCGATGGCTGTGATGGCGTCCCCCACCACGATGCCGCCCCGGGCAACCACCCGTGTCGGCCGTATCAAAAACTGCTACTGGGGCTAGGCCATATCATACCATTCATGGTAATACCAGTATAATGTTGGGCAACGATAAGAAAATGAAATATTGTGATAGAATAAGGGTAAAACGCGCATGTGCACTGCCTTTGTTTTCATATGCACATGGCGGAAAAAGCATGTCGCCGACGGAGAATGAGAAGGGCGAAAGCGGATCGTTGAATGAAACCGATGAACCAGAATTGGTTTGTAAAAATGCTGCAACTTCAGTGGTGTGGAACTGGTTTAGCTTTCGTCTGTCAGATACACAACAAAGCACTATTTTTGGTAGAGCATGCAAGCGGGCCGTCGTTATTACCGTGTTTTTTGGAAAATACGGCACACTTAAAATCAATCCTTTGATTTTTCTGAAAATCCACAGTGCCCCTTATAATCCCGTGTGCCTTATGTATGAATTCTGGTTGTGTTTACTGACCTCAAAATGATTTTATGTCGTACACAGCACTGTCAAATGTTTTAGTACGACTTTGCTAAGCTTGATGGATTGTCGGAGCATTACGGCTATCGTAAGGCAGGAGCCTCGAGGAGTGATACGTACTGTGCTTCAACATAATATTACCGTATTGTGTGTGTATAACCTCTTTTTAGGTTTTGGTTAAACTGTCAGCAAGGAATTTGCATTTGCACTGTTAAATTTTTATATAACTTTAATGCACATAAAAAACAGCAGCTTGTTTAAGTGAAAATACATTGATGGGTTTTTTGAACTAATAAAGTTGAGGAGTTGTAAAGTATTTTGTCTAGTGTCAATTATATCGTCAGCTACATCGTTATCGCAAATTTTCAGATGTATATCGTGATAAATATTTTTGGTCATATCGCCCTGCTCTAATTGCTAATGTTGGTTGGCCCTGGCTATCTCCTGGTAAGTAGTTATAAGCATGCCTTTGCTCAGTACCTGATGTAATCAAAATGTATCTGGTACATTCTAGAATATTCTAAGGGCTATAAAATAATGTTAAACAGTAATTTATTGAGGACAAACTGAAATAATTTCAGTTGGAATTGATAACTGCAGTTGCGGTCTATTTAGGCTATTAGACTATTTATCTGAAGAATGGCTAAATTCAGCCGATTATTTGCTCCATGAGTCAGCTCCATATTAGCTCTGTTGACTCAGTTACTGATCTATGACGATTAAGTTATTGAAATTATCACCTGTTTGAAAGTAAGGGGGGGAGAGGATTTCATATACGCTCAAATTTCAAATATGGTTACATCAAAATTGATGTGTGTAAATGTGAGACTGGTAGTTCAGTTGTCTTTAAGTGTGGTTGTGTGAGGTACTTTTGCCTAGTCAGTGTATTACCCATAGCAGACAGCCTTGTCGGGGTGGCTCTATCTCAGGTGGTACTCCATTACTAACTGGAAAGTTGGTGGTTAGATCCCAGTCTGCACACTAAATTTCCTTGGGCAAGATACTAACCCCAAATTGCTATCGGATGCATCCATCAGAGTATGAATGTGTGTGGATGTTAGATAGAAAAAAGTGCTGGTGTGAATGAGGCAAGTAAAGTAATGTGCTCTGAGTGCTCAGATAGAGTTGCAAAGCGCTATACATGAACTAGTCTATTTACCATCTTCCAGTTTACAGGTGCAACAACACAGCAAGAAGTAAGACTTGGTCTTTTTCACTACCTGGTCCTACACCCTCATTTTAGATTTCACACAATCTTCCCCATGAACTAATGATAAGTGAATGAATCAAAAATGGGGAGGGAAGGTGGGGCACCAAAAGGAGAACGAACAGCTTATAGAGCCGGTGGGGAGGGTAACAGGGAACCAGACGGGACATGTTTGGAGGTGTAGTCCAACAGATAATTTATCTCCAATTCAATAGCTGGGGCCACATCCTCATTTAAGGTTTGACAGCATTTTAAGTGGATAACGCCAGATGGCTTGAACATGAATTGAGGCTGTAGTTAAGGAAAGGCCTGACAGGGGAATGGGAGCAGCTTTCGGCCGGGGCAGATACCCAAAAAAGGCATCCAGAAGTAGTGATGACTGTACGTAACAAAGATCAAAAATGGTTGCCTGGCTGGTTTATTTATTCTGAGTAAGGTAGCAGTTGACACTTGGAAGGGTTTGGAAACCAGTGGATTGGGAGCATCATCATCATCATCACTATGAAGTGCTGCCATGAGCACAGCAAGCAACAGGTGGTGATAAAACACAAATAATGAAAAAAATATTAGCCATTCAAAAGCCCCCAGTCATGGTGTATGGTGCAGTGTCTGGCATGACAAAATGGAGATACAGGTGCACGCCTCTGATTTTGTGAGAAAAAAAATCTCTGTTGTTGTCTGCCACACATCAACACAAATACTACGTTTCTGAAAATCTTCACCCAGGTTATGAAAATCTTTTTTGTTGATCCAAAATACTGTTTCGTCCAAAATACTTTCATCCAAAATACTGAATGAAAGGCCAAAACACAAAGAAAGGAACATGTTTAAAAGAAAAAAATACCTGTGTACATGTGAATGTAACCTTAGTTTTGTCCTCTTTGCATCATTTAGGGGAAGTGATAAAACTTGTGACTCATACCCATGTTGATTTATTGATCATGACTGTTTTTCGTGTTGGTGAAAAAAAAAAGTGGATTTCTCTGCTCAATCCACAAATGCCAATTTTAAGATTTATAACCCTTTGTCCTTCTTTCACTAAAAAGAAGAGACAAAAACTAGATAATTAAGGAAACAACTTAGGGAGGGGAATTGTTAACTGAATTCAGTTTTATTCAAAGAAGGGTTCAGCGTTATGTAACAGTGGCTGTAGATGTAGTTTTTGTTTGTTGTTGTATTTAGTAATGGTAGTCATTTAAAGATTTCTAGCTCTGATCTTTTTTTATTGTGCTTTGCTCCAACGCTCCTATAAACCTACAATTGGTCCAGTATTTTTTGCATTGCTGTAAAATAATGAGTGTGATCTGTGGGTAGGATTAGGGCAGGGGTAGGCAACGCCAGACCTCAAGGGTAGGGTTAGGGTTAGGATTTCCTGCAGGTTTTAGATGTGTCCTTGGTCCAACATAGCTGATTCAAATTGCTGATTTACCTCCTCAACGTGTCGCATAGTTCTCCAGATGCCTGCTAATAAACTAATCCTTTTATTCAGGTGTGATGACCCAGGGGGATATCTAAAACCTGCAGGACACCGGCTCTTGAGGCTTGGAGTTGCCTACACCTGGATTAGAGACACCTGCCACTATCATGTTAACAAGAACTAATTTCTATTGAGTAGTTCCAGCCAACTGTACCATCACTGATGCCTCATCTCAAATGATGTCTCATCATTTGTTCCTGTATCTCCCACCTCGTCTTACTGTCTGTTAGGGCTGCCACGATTAGTCGACTAGTCACGATTACGTCGACTATCAAAATCGTCGACGACTGATTTAATAGTCGACACGTCGTTTGAAGCTTTGTAAGATCCCAAAAGACGCAGGAATAAGTAGTAGTATTTAAGAGTGTAAAAACGGACTGAAACAGAAGATGGCAGCACTGCATGTACAAGGATGCCAGCTGCCGTTAAACCCCGAAGAAGAAGAAGTAGCTCTGTCCCAGAATTCATAGCGAAGCCCAGCTCAATTTTCAACAATGGCGGCAGCTAGTTAGTTTTAATATTACTCTTATTATTCTTTCTGGGTCACAAAATAAACGTTTAACATGTTTTCAGGCGAGAATGTAGCTGTGGAAACCTGAAATATCTGCTCAGTTTATCAAGACACCACATATTTTCAAAAGCGCTCCAATGTCTGTTACCCACTAGCTCGATAGCTAGCCGGCGGCAAGGCTCCCTAGAGCCCCTGAGAACCGCGGACTCCGGGGAAATCGTTTTCATACCCACGGCCGTCTTCCCCTACTCAGGTTAAACATATATAAGTCACTTAGATAACTTAAAAATGTTATTGTTTGGCTTTTTTTTTTTAGTATTTTATTTGTTCCTGAGTAAATCGGTTTGGCTGAGATTAAGGTTATAGTTTTTACACAGCTGAATAAACGTCAAGCTGACAACTGATTATCAGAAATGTGAGATGCTCAAGAATATACTCCGGTGTCCTGTTATATTTTAGATAGCAAGGAGTTTATTAAACTTCACCAAAACAATCTGCAAATTTCATTAAAATTTAATAAACTATCATCTTGTCTTTATTTTTAGTTAGCACAGACCTTACACACTTAAAGCTGTAAGCTAATGATGGTTATATAAGAGCAGATGCTGCTGGTGCAATAAGCTGTATGTTTTACATTCAATGGATGATGCTCTGGGGCAGGGGTAGCTCAGTAGGTAAAGTGGTCGCCCCATGATCGGAAGGTCGGCGGTTCAAATCCACTTAACGGCTACCCTGAGGTACCCCTGAGCAAGGTACCGTCCCTACACACTGCTCCCCAGGCGCCTGCTTAGTGGGCTGCCCACTGCTTCACTGAGTGAATGGGTCAAATGCAGAGAAAAAACAAGTAATTTCCCCATGGGGATCAATAAAGTATCTATTATCATTATTATCTGATTAGTCGACTAATCGCAAAAATAATCGGTGACTAGTCGACTATCAAAATAATCGTTTGTGGCAGCCCTACTGTCTGTTCAGTTTCTTGGTCCAGTTCACAAATCTCCACTTCCATATTAGCCCATGCCCTAAGTTCACCTTTCTAGACCTAGCTGTGATTTGTGTTAGCATAGTTGCTGTTCGAGCACATTACTTCATAAACAGCTGCTGTAATCAGCAACTAAAAAACTGTTAGGCTGAAAGAGTCCTTTCAGACTGGTCAGAGGTTCCTTCAGAGTACTTCTAAATGTCAGCCTTCATGATGGCTGGAGACAGTCAGCTGCTATTCCTGCTACTGTGTATGTTAACCTGCTACATTACCGTCTTAAATTATGTCATACATATTTTACCTGAGCAGGTGATGTTCAGGATGAAGGAATGGTAACTTGATGCTGTACAGTCCTTCAGTGCAGATCTGACGTGAACACAATCATATTTGATCCACCATGCAGGTCTCTTTAAAGACTCATGTCTTGAGTCAACAGAAACAGCAGAGCCACAGTCCAGATGTTTACACACAAAAGCTGCATCTTTCAGCGTCCAGCTAAAGGCAGACACTGTTCTCCACTCTCCCAGATGTCTCAGCTCCATCATGCCCTCACAGTTATTGGCTCCTCCCACCAACCTGACATCATCAGGCTCTGAACAGAAAGCAAAGAGTCATCAGTAAAAGAATAAAGTGAGTTTGAACCACATCAAAGCTGCAGCTCCTCTTCTACCTGAGCAGGTGAGTCCAACAGCTTTGCCAGGTGAGCAGCTGTTTCTAGCTGAGCCTGAGCTTCTACAGTCCAGGAGAGCAGACTCATGGCCTCCACACTGGAACTCTTTGCTCCACACTGGAGCCTCCACTTCTTCATAGAGCACCCCTTGGAGGACCGATGGAGGCCCACAGCCGAGCTCCCTACAGACCACCTCTGCATCCTGCTGGTCAAAGTCAGCTTCACACACTGAGGACCAGCTCTGGTCAGACTTCACCTCCAGTCTGCCTGAACACAGACTGGAACCATTCAGCAGCCTGACAGAGTCTGGAGACATCAGAGAAGATCAAACAGAGAGATCAGAGACAGCAGACACACAAGAAAAAGATGGCAGCAAACAACTATTCACTGACTCAAACTCAGCACAACTCAACATGACTTCATCATTAACAACAGAACACATCTTTAAAATTACATTCAGCTCATTTTATTTCTTCAGAAGCAGGTCAAAACACTTTTAACTGTAATTAGAGCTGGGCGATAGAACGATAACGATATGTATCGCGATATAACTTTTACTCGATAGAGAAATTAAGCTATCGCGATAGACCTCGCCGCTCTTGTCCTCTTAAAAAAAAAAAAAAAAAAAAAAGGTCAGCCAATCCAAATTAAGTAGCGCAGAGCCGAACCAATCACAGCCGCAGCGTCACGTCGCGTGACTTGTTACGTACAGCACAAGTGCCAAGCCGCACGTGTGTTTGTTTGGGAAGCAGCCAGCGGGTAATGGAGCCAGCACGTAATGGAGGAAATGAGTGTGCCGACTAGAAAAATCAACCGAGCGTGACCGAAGGTTACCGAAGAGAAAACAGATGATGGTTCCAATGCCGGAGAGATTGTCGAACAGAAGAGCCATAGAAGTTCCGTAGGGTGAAGGTATTTCGGCTATTTCAAGTCTGACAAAAAACAGAGTAGCGTGCACTGTAAATTGTGCCGAAAGCAAGTCTGGAAATACAATAAACTGGTGAATGCGTCACACTGTGCGCCACGTTATTGTTTCGGTGAAATGAATTTCTACAATACTGTTACTGTTAATTCTACTCTCTGCAGTGTTTAAATGCTTACATATACACACAGTTACTGTCCGTCCACACATACGACTCGGTTCTGCTTCTATGCCCCAGCTTTGTTTACTTTTTCCCACCGAGGCTTCTAGACTTCTGATTGGCCAATATTTCTGCACGGTTAGGAATCTAGTGCCACCTGCTGCTTTGGCATGTTCATAGCAGCGTTTTCCTTCATTTCTGCCTTTATGTGTGGACGGGATTATTTTTTAAAACGAAAACGGAAAATCTCAGTTTTCAAAAATACCCGTGTACGTGTGGACGTAGCCTCAGTCTCTGACTGGAAGCGCTAATTCGTCATTCGGCTTTTGTCAGACTAAAGTAACTGTTAAAACTGTTTGAAAAGCTAAGCTATACAACAAGGAGAGATTGAGAATTTCCTTTTAGTTCTCAGTTTATTTGATATTGACAAAAGTTAGCCAGTTTTGTCTGTTCTTCTGTAAAACAAACTAAGATTTATTTTTAGAATTAATATTTTGTTTCTAAGTGGAATTGACAATTTAGTAGTCTGTTTCGTTTGTTCTATTTTGAAACTTAAACGCTTTAGCGGCTGCCTTTTGTGTAGTTTGCAATATTTGCCTTTATTTATCTGAAAAAGTCTCATGTTCCTTAAGTACATCTACCCTGTTGAACTTATTATGGGAAATAAATATTTAAATAAAAACAAGCTGCTGATTATTTCACATTTTACTTGTGAGCACATTTAAATCTTACAAATATAGTTATTTGGCTTATATCGTGATATATATCGTTATCGCCTGAAATGAAAAAAACATATCGTGATATGAAAAAATCTCATATCGCCCAGCTCTAACTGTAATGTGAAAATATGCAATCGGGCAATGTCTTGTAAGAGGAGGAACTGAAATTATTAGCTTTTAAACCTCTGATATGTTCGTTTTCAAATTCTTTGAATTTTTTTGGTAACTTGTAACTGTAAAAATTATAGTTCATAGAGGCATGATCAGTGGTGTGATTATTTAGAAGACCAGTCTCTCCATTTTCTTCCATCCATTCGGTTCAGATTTCTGAGAGGGCGGAGCCTATACCAACAGTCATGGTCAAAGGAAGCTAAATCTTGAACAGGATACCGTGTTAAAAGAGGCATCCCTGTGCATGATAACACCTATGGCTACTTTCAAATCACCAATCAATCTAACACATGTTAAATTTTATTTATACAGTGCCAAATCATGATGTCAGTCACCTCAAGGATGTTTATGTTGTAAGGTACACCCTACAATAATATAGAGAAAACAGAGAAAAGCTCAGCAATCATATGACCCTTATAAACAAGCACTATTACAGTGGGAAGGAAAAAACTCCCTTTTCAGAGGAAGAAATCTCCTGCAGAGAGGTGTGCAAACACATAATAAGTGAAGAAAAAACACCTGTTAAAAGGGAGTTTTTTTCCTTCCCACTGTCACCACAGTGCTTGCTTATAAGGGTCATATGATTGCTGAGCCTTTCTCTGTATTATTGTAGGGTCATTACCTTACAATATAAAGCATAGCTCCTGTTGTGACTTGGCTGTATGTAAATAAAATTGAATTGATCTGATTTGAATAACAACAAAAATATATTTACCTGCGCAGGTAAGATTCAGGATGGGGTTGTAGTAATCCGATGTTGTGCACTCTCTCAGAGTAGATCTGGACTGAACACAGTCAGGTTTGATCCTCCAGCGAAATTTTAATGATGACTCGGTGTGTTGTAAAGAAACAGCAGAACCACAGTCCAGATGTTCACAAATAGGAGCTGCCTCTTTCAGCGTCCAGTGAAACTCAAACATTGGTCTCCACTCTCCCTGATGTTTCAGCTCCAGTATTCCTGCACAGCGACTGGCTCCTCCCACCAACCTGACATCATCAGGCTCTAACAGAAAGCAGAGAGTCATCAGTAAAATAATAAAGTGAGTTTGAACCACATCAAAGCTGCAGCTCCTCTTCTACCTGAGCAGCTGAGTCCAACAGCTTTGCCAGGTGAGCAGCTGTTTCTAGCTGAGCCTGAGCTTCTACAGTCCAGGAGAGCAGACTCATGGCCTCCACACTGGAACTCTTTGCTCCACACTGGAACCTCCACTTCTCCATAGAGTGCCCCCTGGAGGACCGAAGGAGGCCCACAGCCAAGCTCCCTACAGACCACCTCTGCATCCTGCTGGTCAAAGTCAGCTTCACACACTGAGGACCAGCTCTGGTTAGACTTCACCTCCAGTCTGCCTGAACACAGACTGGAACCATTCAGCAGCCTGACAGAGTCTGGAGACATCAGAGAAGATCAAACAGAGAGATCAGAGACAGCAGACACACAAGAAAAAGATGGCAGCAAACAACTATTCACTGACTCAAACTCAGCACAATTCTGATTAGACTTCATCATTAACATGCATTACATGTTGACAATGTTCAAAACTTGCTTCTTTTTATTCTTAATGATATTAGCCTCTTATGACTTTACGTATTCCATTTTTTTATACTCATATCTGCCTTGTAGCTCCTTTTTTACTTGGATGTGTTCATTTATACTTTGGACTGGAAACATAGCCTCTATCTTTGATTTTAGTGTGTTTTCAAACACACATGGAGCAGACCTCCACAGTAGCCAGGTCACAACAATCAGATGCTGCTTGTCAGCAAAGACTTTCTACAGTCTGGGTGTGTACAATGGGATTTGTTGTAATTAGTGGATAGCATGTTTTTGTTGTTTGTCATGAGGACAGATAAGAAGGTACTGATGGGACACGGTGGTTCAGAAAACTGAAAGAGACCTTTGAGAGAGGTGGTTGGTCCAGATGAATCCTAAAGTTTTCTCTGTTGTGACTCCTGAGAAGCTGATGTGAACGTGTTGCACTTATGACACGCTTTATACTTATAGGCTCACCTGCACAGGTGACATTGGTGATGACAGGAGATGAATATGATGTTACACAATCTCTCACAGCAGATCCAGACTGAATACATTCAGTTTTCATTTTCCACACAGGTGTGTTTGTGGTCTCAAATCTCCATTCTACAGAAACAGCAGAGCCACAGTCCAGCAGTTGGCAGACAACATCTGCATGTTTCAGGGTCCAAGCATAACCATGTACTATTCTCCACTCTCCCAGATGTTTCAGCTCCAGTGTTCCTGCACAGTGACTGGCTCCTCCCACCAACCTGACATCATCAGACTCTGAACAGAAAGCACAGAGTCATCAGTAAAGAAGTTAATTGACTTCTGAAAAGTAAAGTTATCTGCTGCTTCTGTGAGTATTTGATTTCTGCATTTACCTGAGTTATGTTTTTCTTCAGCCTGGACTCCTGAAAAGAACATTAGAGAAAAAAGTTGCCATTTTAAAGCAGGACTCTGGACTCGTTTTCCAAGTCTGACTTGTAAAACAAGAAGTCACAAATCAACATTGCAGTTTTTAAAGACTTCATGGATCAGTCCATTCTGGTCCTCATTGCTTAAAGTAATCTTGTTTTGTCAAAACTATTGGTGTGTCAAAAGCACAATATGATGATGATATACCAGGAGAAGATGTTCCATTTTTCAGCATGAAGGGTTACTATTACAAAAAGTGAACCTGTGATAAAATGGGTGAAGTGAGACAGAATCAAATATAAAAACAGAGTAAATAAAATAAAAAAAAATCAATCAATCCATAAACTTTATTGATCCCAAAGGTTGGCCACGAAGGAAATTGAGTTAGGGCTGCTGGCCTTATGCTGCTGCCATCTCAAACCAGTGCAAAAACACAAAGATCCAAATAAATCAGCAGCTTATGGCATCATATTAGAATTTGCAGAAGGACCCTAACCTTCAATCTAACCCTTATTAGCAGCCAGTATAACTATCATTACTGATTGCACATGTATCCACAGCTGAAGAGTAATGATTGCGCGGTTTTCTTGAGCAATGCAGCTGGCAAACCACACTGGGATATAGTATGTCTGTGTTGTGCCCTTAAACAGGGGAAATAGTGCGGAGAGGTGAAAGAAAGGCACAGACACGCAGCTCTCACTCTCACTCGTCTGTATTGAGTGAAGGAGGAAGCGCGCTAACCCACCTACTGGAGCCCTGAGGCATTAACAATGGATCGACGCACAATCAACCCAGGCAAAACTTTCACTACTTATCTCCCTCTATATTCCCACTGCATATTCTATTCGAAAACAGTCAAAGCAACAAATAAAACATTAATAAGGGCATGACATGAAATGTAAGGAACAGAGATGTACAACTTCAAAACTAATCAAATTTATGATCCACCACATCTGCACTCTTATCCTTATGAAACAGAGAGTAGATGTATTTGAATTAAGTCTCCACGCTTAAAGAAGTCCAGATGCTTTTCTTTCCAAGCTCCTTAGACCACCAATAAAATATATAATTATGAGTTAACAGCACAAAATGTTAACTGAAAATGTGTAGACTTTAACCTTTTCATGGAATATTCTCTGGTATCTAAACAAACATTTAATTCAATTCCATTTTATTTATATAGCTCCCATTCTACTTCTAAATACTCTAGGAACACCAAGTAAGCCTGCAATGTGAGAGTGAAGAGCTCTAATGGAGTGATATGGTACTACAAGGTCATTAAGATAAGATGGGGCCTGATTATTTAAGACCTTGTATGTGAGGAGCAGGATTTTGAATTCAATTCTGGATTTAACAGGAAGCCAATGAAGGGAAGCCAAAACAGGAGAAATATGCTCTCTCTTTCTAGTCCCTGTCAGGACTCTTGCTGCAGCATTTTGGATTAACTGAAGTGTTTTCAGAGAATTCTTAGGACATCCTGATAATAATGAATTGCAGTAGTCCAGCCTGGAAGTAATAAATGCATGAACTAGTTTTTCAGCGTCACTCTGAGACAGGATGTTTCTAATTTTAGAGATGTTGTGCAAATGGAAGAACGCAGTCTTACATATTTGTTTAACATGTGGGTTGAAGGACATGTCCTGGTCAAAAATGACTCCAAGGTTCCTCACAGCGTTACTGGAGGCCAAGGTAATGCCATCCAGAGGAAGAATCTGGTTAGATGCCATATTTCTAAGATTTTCAGGGCCGAGTACAATAACCTCAGTTTTATCTGAATTAAGAAGCAGAAAGTTAGCAGCCATCCAGGTCTTTATGTCTTTAAGACATTCCTGCAGTTTAACTAATTGGTGTGTGTTATCTGGCTTCATGAATAGATAAAGTTGTGTGTCATCTGCATAGAAGTAAAATTTTATGCTATGCCTTCTGATGATGCTGCCTAGGGGAAGCATGTATAATGTAAACAGAATTGGTCCTAGCACTGAACCCTGTGGAACACCATAACTGACCTTAGTGTGTGAAGAGGACTCTCCATTTACATGAGCAAATTTGAGTCTATTAGATAGATATGATAGAAACCACTGCAGTGCAGTACCTGTAATACCTACAGCATGTTCTAATCTCTCTAATAGGATATTATGATCAACAGTATCGAACGCTGCACTAAGGTCTAGCAGGACAAGCACAGAGATGAGTCCACTGTCTGAGGCCATAAGAAGATCATTTGTAACCTTCACTAAAGCTGTTTCTGTGCTGTGATGAGCTCTGAAACCTGACTGAAACTCTTCAAATAAGCCATTCCTCTGCAGATGATCTGTTAGCTGTTTGACAACTACTCTTTAGGAAGGTTGGAGTTGGCCTATAATTAGCTAAGACTGCTGGGTCTAGAGATGGCTTTTTAAGTAACGGTTTACCTATTGCCAGTTTGAAGACCTGTGGTACATTCTAGGACAGTATATATGTATAATGACATCCTCTTACTGGATGAAATCACTAAGTTTAATTTCTGGGCACTATCCCAGAATGCTGGATGATATTGATGTTTCTTTGTAAGTGAGTTATTTTTTTGGGTTCAATGATTACATGTCAGCCCTTTTTCTTCTTTTTCTTACAGTGGGCTGGTTCTTTTTTTTTTCCAACATCAAATTTATTTTTAAATAATTTCTTTCACTGAGCCAGGCTAATTGTCCCATTAGAAACAATATTCATCACCCCTGTTATTTCAGCCCAAGCCTCATCTTTAAAAGGTGTTTAACATCCGTCACTTAAGTGGAGACACTTAAGGGAGCTGTCCTTTTTCCATTTATACACTCTTATTTAAATTCATTAAGTTGCACTTTCTCCTTTTTTCTTCTGTTAGGGGTGAAGTCTCTTCAATTGGTAAAATTGTTTTCTTATACAGAGAAATGGGGGCATGGTATTATGCTGACTGCAGGCATCTGATCTGATTCACTGACTTCATTATCCAGAATGTAATTTTGTATATTTGCAGAATTTTTTTCCCTGCAAGTTAGGAACTTTATATATATATATATATATATATATAATATATATATATAATATATATATATTTTTTATATATATATATATATATATATATATATATATATGTGTGTATATGTGTATATATATATATATATATATATATATATATAGCACTAATGATAGCATGTATAATATTCTGCTTGTGAACAGAACAAAAACAAAAATATTGACAGCAAAATTATTAAAGTTATGCAATACTCTTAACAGTAAGCTGAAGAAATGTATGTCCCTCTGTTTCTCTCTATCTATCTTGTTTTCAGTTCACATTTCTGCTCTTCAATCTGTTAATCAGAGCACAATTATAATCATGTATGAGTACATCATGTAGCTGACAGTTTATAACAGGATAATGCTGGAAAAAGTGTATGGATGAAACTCGCAGGCTTGCACTTGCACTCGAGCGCTCGACGTTGACTGTGTATGCTTTTACTTCCTTGAAAGTAAAATAAATGCTACTCTGTGTGTCTCACTTCACAAAGGAAGTTTTCTAAAACATGTGAAACAGCCACTGTCACAAAATGAGGAGCATGTTCTTGAAAATGTTTCACAATAAAAGCCTTATTGTGAAATGAGGAGTTTCTGATGAAAACAGGAAGCACATGTTATCACTGTAGTTTAATAACACACATATATATTCTATTTTATTTATGGTAAATAGACTGTTTCTTTTAAACCACTTTCTACCCTAACTGAGCACTCAAAGTGCTTTTGTACAACTTGCTTCATTCACTCAAGAACATTTTTCTATATAAATGCTTTCTATCTAACATTCATGATTTTACAGTGAGAGAAACAATCAGAGAGGAACCTGGGGTTAGTATCTTGGCCAAGGATATTTGACATGCAGGCTGCAGCAGATGTGGATCAAACCACCAGCCTTCCAATTAGTAGGCGACTTGTTCTAACACCTGAGCCACAGCCACAACAGGCCAATTCACAACAATAGTCTTCTCAAGGTTCTTTCTATTTTTAAATAAAAAAAAACAAAACAATTTGATTTAATAGGATAACGGCTATATTATTGTAGAAGGTCACAAACAACCTGATGATTTCCTCTGAGCAGCACACTGCAATGGTGGCAAGGAAGAGCTCTACTTTAACCTCTATTACAGTGAGTCTTGTTTTTTTTAAATTCCATCATTTTCATAAGAAGTCTAGACGTGATGGGGCTATGCTTCCCTCTTTGGGCTCTAAAATATAGTAGACGTAGTTCGTTCATTCATTCAAAGTGGAGTTGTTAGTGAGGAGGCGTTAAGTCTAAGTGGATAACACAGTACAGTTTAGAATAGAATAATCCTTTAATTGTCCCACAAGGGGAAATTTGGTTGTAACAGCAGCCAGAAAGACAGAAAGTTTGGGCTCCTCTCTGATTGTTAGAGGCTAGAATCAGCTCCAGCTGGTGGAAACAGTCTTTAGGTGTGTTCAGCTAGTTATTCAGAGTGAGCTTTACAGAGACATTAGAGTTTCTTGAGTTATTTTTGGTCATGAGTAAAGGAACTGTGACTCATCATCATCAGTGAGGAAGTCCGACAGTGAGTGCTGCTGCACAGAGATCATCACTGAATATTGACCTGTCGGACAAAACAACTCACAAGTGACTGTCAATATATTAAAATATGGCTTTGATTTGACAAAGTCTGAAGGACTCTTTTTTTTTTTTTTGCCTGTCCTGTTTGGTTGTTTTGCCATCAGAATTATTGTCTAAAGGCGAAGAAAGATGCCCAACGGATTTACTTTACCAAGTGGACCATCCCAGCCTTGCCGTAATGGTCTATTTGATTCACCTTTTATTGTTTATTTTATTTTATTTTTACGTGCTAGATACGGGACAGACTTGACTGGGGAAAAGAAGGAGGGAAAGAAAAACAGCGGGGATAAAGGGCAAAAAACAAAAACCAACAAAATAAGCAGACAAAAAATACATATATCAATCACCTGGATCACCTGTCCGAAGTCTGAAGGATTCTAACTAGAAGGTGTTTTTCAAAACTGAACTGTGTGTGTGTGCAGGTGTCCTACCTGAGCTCCACAGGAGAAGCAGCACTAATAGGTGATCCATGTCCAGCTGTACGTCTCTCTGCTCTGACCATCATGTGCTGTCCTCAGTATATTTCTGCTAACAGGAAGGGGCGGGATGGTGGGATGGATGGTTGGTTGGTTGTGTGAGCTCTGCTGGAGGTCACTCCACTGTGACCTTTCTTGAACTCTGTGTTCCATCACATCAGCCTTTTCCTCGGCTGAATTCTTCAGAGTCTTATTGAACATATTGTTTAGTAAAAGACCAAATATCCTGTATCCAGGTACATGATTTTTTTTATGCTATAAATTCTCATCTGTTCGGACTTTATGGCACCAGCCAAGCTTCAAATGCTTATAATGACCAGCAGTTAGAATCATATCTACTCATGACATGAATAATAGTTTGAACATTTTATTTTTAGATGTATAAAAGTCAAGTAGGTTTTGACCCAGAAGGACTCTGGTTAATATATGTGTAAAACTATGTTTTAGTTTGTCTCACTGTTTCCTATTTTTGGACAGAAGTATAGAGGTGATGAGCAGAATCTATCATTCTGAAATCAGGTCTTTTTTTCTGTCCATCAGACATGCCGTCCATCAACAGCACATCTAAAACCACACCAACATCCCACAGAGTAGTCACAGCCTGTACAGTGGAAGCAGGCAGCAGTAACTGATGCTGGAAATCTGTCATTCGCATTAAATTCACATCATTTTATCAACAACACCAAAAACTAAATTACGCTGGCAGCAAATGTAGCAGCAACTATTTCTACAAATGTAAAATCTTAGATGACATTTTCCAAATGTTTGCTGAAGGTGGGATTAAAAGCAGTTCTAAGAGGAAAAAAGTCACCACATTTTATATTCCATAATTTCTCTTCCCTGTTGAAGATAAAAGCCCAGATGGAGCTGTAAATTACCAGTGTTCATGAAAAAATCCAGAAATTTTAACTCATGTTATCTGATAACATCTTTATTTCTCTACTGCAGGACAAATGTACGAGAATGTTAAGACAGTGTTGTCATGATCCTGGGTCCTTTTGACCCAGCGTTTTGTGTTTTCTCTTCGCGATTTTGGTTCTGTTCTCTAATTGGTGTTTACCCTGTTCCCCCCCGTGTGTTCCTGTTTTATTGTGAAGGTCTGCGTCTTATGTGAGTGTTTTCAGTTTGCCTCCCTGGTCTCGTCATGTTAATCACTCCCAGCTGTGTCTCCCACCTGTGTTATTTCCCTTCCACCCTTCTGTGTTGATTCTCTGGTCATTCTCCCTGCATGTCACGTTCGTATTCCGGTTAGTGTTTTATTTAGTTTTCCCAGTTTAGAGTTTTCACCGTTCGGTTCCTCGCCACCCTGTCTGTTGTACCTTTTGGTTGCAAATAAACTCACCCTCCACTTCAGCAGCCTGCAGTTTGGATCCATTATTATTTACACGGCTTGCCCCGGCAAACAAGTGTGTTCTGATAATAGGGTTAAAACTGAAAATGGATGAAGGGCTGAAGTGCAAACTTTTCTTTATGACTCAGAAGAAGAAGATGAGAGAAGCTATGTTTTATTATTTAAACAGCTATAACAATAAAAAACACAACCTGTATTAAAATAACAAATATAGTTAAAGTGAAATTAGTAATAATTAATAAGAAAAAAGGAACCAAATTACATGCAGTTACTGTGGTATGAAGCAAGCATGATTATCTATGCTTATGACAGCAGAACTGAAACAAAAACCATAAAAACCTGCTAAAAGAAGCCGTTTCGGGTCATATAAATAGCACAGATAAATTATTAAATGACTTTTCAAAAATAGTGAAGCTCATAGAGAAGGTTAGACAGCATTCACCAGTTCCTCGTCCTTCCATCTTGACCTCTAATCGCTGATGAAAGGAAAAGGCGCTGCCTGAATTTATCCTGCTTCGTCCTGCAGATTTTGCTTCCTCTTAAAATTTATGATGCCTCATTAGCCTCTTCACACACTGTTAGAGCACTTTATCTGCATTCACACACTCTGACAGTTCAGTACTCTCCAGCCAATGCTTCAGCATGCATACTCGAGGAGGCAAGGATCAAATAACTAACTTTCCCATTAGTTGATGACCCACTCCACCTCCTGAGCCACAGACACCCGAAAACTCACTGCTGTTTATTCTGCACCACCTTCTGTGTTCAACAAAACTGGTGTGAGGCAGTAAATCACAGCAGACTGATGAGCAGGAGGCACAGAGGAGAAAAGAGCTAAAGGAGGAGAAAACTGAGATTAAAGAAGAACATCAGGGTTCACCTCAATTCAGCCGATAACAGTGTGTAATAAAAGAGGAGTTAATACAACAGCTGATCAAACAAAATGACTTCATTTGAAGGTGACTTCAGTTAAATATGATCTGTTTACAGCCACTGCTCTGCTTCATGATCTCAAACATAATACGAGTATAACGATCCACATCCTTTTAATAAAATCATTTTAATACAAATAAGACAAGAATTCAAAGAAACTATACTCATTGCATCTCACACACAGGAAAGACTAAGTGTGATGATTCAGTTAATTGCACATATTTATGAAGTCCTCCTTGTGTTCTTTTTTTTTGTCATCTTTCGAAAATCACTGAAAAAAACGTCTGCAACAAACATAGCTGTGGATGCTGATTACATCTCTTAGTAACCAAAACATCTGTCGTGATGGAAGAAGACGATTAGGATCTGATCTGGGGCTGACAAACAGGAAGGACACAGGAATCAAAAAGAAGGACAGGCAGTGAAGATAGAACCAGGAAGGATCATGGACCTCACAGGGCCCTAAAAACAGCAGAGTCACAGACCCGACTTAGACAAGAAGACTCACAGGACTCCAACTGAAATGGGAAACCTGTGAAAGAAAGCTCATGACAGGCCCACCCTGCATCACAAAACCCAGATCATGCTCCAGAACCTCACTGTACCTCCCCTGAACCAGCAGCAGAAGACCCAGAGCTAATTATCACCCATCCTTCAGACATCACCGAGGAAACCAACGAGAGGAGCTGGAGGTTAGATCACACAGGAATATTAAAAAGCTGAAGAATAAGAAATATATGAAGCTGAAAGTCTGTATGCATAAAAGTTTAAACTTATAATGAAGTGACTGTAAATCGATTGTTTCCATAATCTCATGATTAAATTAGGATTTAGTTCAAGAGTAAACTTATGATGAAGAATCAACACAAAAGGTTTTGCTGACAGCACCTTTAAAGAGATGTTGATATTTGGTATCTTCAAGGTTCAAGGTTCAAGGTTCTTTATTTGTCACGTGCATAGTTATACAAGTATAACACACAGTGAAATGTAGCCTGACACGCTCCTCGACATGTGCAAAAATGAGGGGAGGCTGTAGAGGAAGAACATTATATATATATATATATATATATATATATATATATATATAGTATATACATTAGGTGAATGTTCAGTAGTAGTAGCAAGCAGGTGAATTCTGTACGTTAATATGAATAGACATCTGACTATTTTACAGAATAGACAATATAAACATATTTAAAATTAAAGGAATTGAAATGTACATTGTGCCTTGGTTTAGTGTCTGGAAGAGTCCTGACTCAGTCAATTATAGATGATGTAAGAGGGCGGGTGTGTGTGTTTAGGGCACGGATGGCTTGGGGATAGAAGCTCCTCTTGAGTCTCTCTGTCCTTGCCCGGAAGATGCGGAACCTTCTACCAGATTGCAGAAGTTGGAACAGTTTGTCTGTCTATGGAAAATGAAAATGAAGAAATGAAAGACGTGTGGAAAGTACCAAGTGGATCAAACACACTGATGGCTGGAAAGGAAAAGGAAGTTCTTAAAATAAAATCAATCTTTCATCACGAGTCAGCAAGACTTTAATTTAAATGTGTGGAAAACTTAAAGATGAGAACTGTTTGTATCTGTGACGGTAAAACTTATAATCTGAGGAAGTCTCAAGTTTCATTTGTACTGAAACTGTTCTCTGATTGTAAATGTGGGTTCAGTAGAAACCAGTCTTTGTTTTTACAAATGAGAAGTTCATCTGGGTTTGAGACAAGCTCCTCGGAGGTCGTCTTCTGCTCCTTCAGGTGCACAAAGACTGAAGTTACAGTAAACCAGCTCAGTGTTCTCAGGTGTGCTCGGCTTCTGCCCCCTGCAGGCCTGGAGAGACATGACAGCACAGATCAGACTGATTGGATTGGTTCGTTCTCATTTTTGTGATTTTCTGAGAAGATCTGTGACCCAGAGTAAAACTCTTATGCAAATTAGTGAAAGACACTGACAATGACAAGTGTGGAGATACTAATGAACCCCAGCTGAACTGTTCTGTTCAAATCTGTGGCCCAGAGTTGCTGCTGGACACCAGCAGAAAGCTGTGAATCTGAAGGAGGAGAAGCTTCAGGCTGCTGGAGACAGCCTGCTGCTAGACTACCTGGTGTGTGTGTCACAGTGGTGGTATACAGTATATATATGAAATCTACTCAATAGCCACTTCAGCAACTCAATGCATTTAGTCATGTAAACAAGATGACCTGTTGAAGTTCAAACTGAACATCAGAATGTGGAAGAAAGGTGATTAAAAATGTTTTCATTTTATAAGACAACATGCAAAAGATGAAGTTTCTAAATACTTTCTGAAGCTTTTGAGCTCCATCTTTGTAGGTCTGTCTTTGAAAGTGTTACAGTGCATCACTAAGAAACACCCCACAAAACAATCAAAGCTAAAACATAAAACTTGTTATAAAAAAAACCCAAACAGGCTTTAATCTGTAGGGCAGCTGTTCCCCTCCACCCCATCACCCCTCCTCAGATCACCTGTCGTTCATCAGCTCTCTACATAAGGACCAGCACAGCCATCTAGACTCTGCCAGATTATTAGCTCTCTCCGTGTGGTAAACAGGCTAGTTTGGTTTTGCTCTTTTCCCTTTCTCTTGCAACTAAGGCTTTTTTACAGTTATTTTCTGGATAACATCACTGTGGCGAAGGTGTGGTCTTGGGCCTGCTGCAGAAGAGCAGGTGTGCTAAACTGGATTGATGAATGGCAACTGTTTTTATGTCATGCA